GGCTGAGTGACACCTTCGGTCTTGTGTTACATGTGCATGAACTTTAGTCACACGATGAACCATGTGAGATTCAAAGATGCTGCTTGACAAAGTAAAACTTGTGCCTTCTCTACTCAGATCATAACACTGTGACAGGAAGGGGGGGGGTTATCTGCGGTTCACATCATCGTCAGAAACAGCCGACCGTCTGACGCTTCTTTATCTGTGTGGCATCTCACTGTGTGCGCTGCTATGTACCTGTAGAGTTCAAAAAAATTCTTGTCAGGTTAGTCACACCCCTCTGGCGGCTTTAGATGGATCAAAACTAAAAATACTTGATTGACGTTTTATTTTAACAGAAGTCAATGATTCAAAAGAAAGCAATTACATAATAAGATGTGCTGTCGGGATACATTTCATTTAATGGGTTTGCCTTTTATACAACTGTGAAAGAGATTGAAGAATAATAAAAAGATGTTGTTATTGAGATGAATGACGAGACTTGTAATGACTCAAAATAGGCTCTCAGTAATGTGAGGGAATTAATGATTTGATACCTCTTTAGTTTGAGCATCAATAACTTGACATGGTGAGACAGACACTGATGGAGGTGTGTGTTGACGTTCGTGAAGTAATTTAGGTTTTGCAGATAATTTGAAAGATGTATTTTGGGGCTTTTTGTGCCTTTAATTGAGCGATAGGACAGTGGATAGAGTCGGAAATCGGGGAGAGAGAGTTGGGAATGACATGCAGGAAGGGAGACACAGGCTGGATTTGAACCTGGGCCGCCCACTTGGGAGACTACTGCCTCCATACATAATTAAAAAAAAATGTGCATGTGGACTTTATACAGTTCATATTTACTTTTTCAATCAATGTTAAACTTGAATGCACCTCATTTGACTCCGTTCAATTGTTTTATAAGAGCTGAGATTCAGATGTTTGTAAACGATAGCCACCATTCAGCAGGCCTGACTGGATGCCATAGTATCAGTATTTTTATAGACTAGGCTGGGGCCAAAAATGAAAGGAAGGACACTAAAAAGCTTTGTTGTTTTAATAGTTGCAGTGCACTGATCTGTGTGTCACTTACCTTTAGATTGACAGGCCCTCACAATATCTCCAGCAGCATCATTCCTGTGCTGCGTGACAGAGCATACCTCTCAACATGTGACTGAGAACATAGCTGAAATGTCTTCAACTGATATGATCTGAGGCCTCCGTGCAATCCCTCTGTCACATGCTCACACACACTGACAACCCTGTACCATTGCTGCATTGTTGAAGTTCAATAATCATCATTTCTATTAAAACTATTCAGGTGTTCTGCAGTTTTCCCAGGAAACGATTTTTGTTTTATTATTCATTTCAAATGGATACAGTCAGTCCCTGCTGAACCCTTTAAATATTACATCCACTCACCCATCCATCCATTTTCGTCCACTTGTCCAGGGGCTGGGTCACAGGGGTAGCAGTCATTGTCCCAGACCTTCCTCTCATCAGCAACATTTCCCAGCTCCTCCTGGGGGGCGGGGGGGGTCTCTTCAAATACTCCCCTCTCATGTCTGTTTCTGCAGTGTTCTGTAACAGAGCTTTTAACATGGCTTTAGGATTAAACTTTGACATTTGGAAAAGGCAAAACTGAACCCAAAAATGTATTTCAATTCTTAAATATTTTAATTACAACAAAGAAATGTCCAATGACTAACTTAAGGTCTTTCTTTTCAGTAGTCCTCATAATTTGGCAGAGACATCTAAGGATGCAAATCATCTTGAACATTAGTCTCCACAATTTTAAACTTACATATAACACTAGTGAAAAAATCTAACAATAGCAATACCTGTTTTGATACCAGGCAACTTTTAAAAAAGTCCTAAGCTGCATATATTGGTAAGTTCCTTGTTTTAATGACTAAAAATGGCAAACACACTCCTGATCACAATGTCTCTTTTGTCTGCGGCCGCTCTGGTTTAGATATACTGTATATGACAGAAGATCTGGAGGTTTTTAAAGCTGTGGTACTTTTCTCTAAAATATTGGAGATTGTATTTTTTTGAAACACATGATATTGAAAATAATCAAAGCAACCAAAATGTTGACAAGCTCAGGTAAGAGCACAAAGAAACAAAGGTTCAAGAAACCTGGAAAGATAAAGTGAAGAGTAATATCTATTCATCAGTTTTTTTTGTTAGGCACAATACATGTAGGCATTCACATCTAATTGAAGTGCAACCAATGCAACGTTTATTGGACTTCTTGCCATGGGTAATTTGCAGTCCTTGTCCCTGGTTATGCTTTTAGGAAATAACACATGTAAGAAAACAAACTATTACAGCAGACAAAGATAAGCAGTTATGTAGATGCATAAAAACTAACAATAAAGCAAACATAGACACGCAGGTAGATGATAATGAATAAGAATAAGAACAAAGAGCAATAACTGAAATAACACCTTTGAACAAACAAATAAAGGAGAAGTAAAATATGCTGTGCTATATTACACATGTAACTTTGACTGACAACATGAATGTATGTTAAAGCTATCATCAGTTGACATTAATTCAATTACAAACATACTAAACTCAATCTGCATTAAAGTTTAAAGTTTTGATGCTTGAGAGACAAAGACATTTTTCTTTTTACTTGATGACATAAAATAACACATCTCAAAGTACTCTGCACCACAAAATAAATGGATGATACTGTTTTACTGGCAGAAAAATCTGTAGAAATGTTGAAGGAAAATGTCAAAATCTTAGTATGAATACTCAAATTCATCGAATTCGAAGTGACCACTTAGTGAGAGCCTTACTCAGTCTGGTGTGACATGCTGCTTATGTCGAGTATGTGAGCTGAGTTCGAGATCAGTCAAGCTGGTGTTCAGAACGTGGTGACATAATCAGTAGTACTCAGTAGTACGAAAATAATAAGTAAGAATAGATGTTTTTGAAAAAACAATGTTATTCTATTTTTTTTGTCCCCAGTTTGTGTTTTTTTACATTTCAGAAATGTACTCATTGAAAAAAGCATTTTGTTCGTTGTGAATACACCTGTGACAAGGGAGGAGGAGCTGAGACCAAAAAGAGAGGGAGGAATTTTCTTTAGTCTTTAGATAGATGTTGTTTTGTAAACTGACCTTTTTGAAATTGAAGGTATACCTTTAACAACACGTGATTCTTTTACACTGTGTCTTAACATCCACCAATGTGTCACTGTTGTCACTTATGGCATAAAGGAACAAAGACTTGTGCATGTATTGACCACTACATTTCTTCACCAAACACTGCGGTCCTACACTTTTATGTAGGGGATTTTTCTTTTAAATGTAAAATGCATCTCAAGACATTCCAGTGTCTACTTGTAGTTTGGTGTACAACTATAAAGTCAGAGGCAAGAATTCAGTCTTTCATGAAAGTTTAATTTTTTCCAACAATTGCAATAGACACTTTGTTAAAAAAAAAGGGCAATAAACAACTGCAAAAAATACTGCATATAAATTATGCATCCTGGTTAACGTATCAAACAAGAAGCTTAAATCACAACAGTTGTACGTCGCTGCAGATTTATCCTCGTGATTGAAAAACACACCTGCCTGCCTGGTGATACATTAGCAAGTAGCACAGAAATATGTTCAACTTTACAATGACACTTGAGCTCTCTATTAAAGGTGAGTCACAGGGTGTGCTGTAAATATTACCTTGAGTCCTGAGCACGCCCAGTAAGATCATCAGAGGAAAGATTCTCATCAGTTACTTATAATCTTTTACCTAATGATTGGATAATTGAGTGTGTTGGAGAAGGGAAACAGATATCATCTGGAATGTACTTTGTGTCACAGAGATAAAGCAAAGCGCTGACATTTGATCAATCCTTAAACTGGAATCTGTGGTGATAGATCGTTGTACTGATTAAAAAGCACAAACAGAGACAAAGTACATGTGATTCAAAGAAGGAGGAGGACACAAACAAACGTGATGTGCGATGCATTGAATTGTGGAGACTATGCTCAGCGTTCTTTCATAGCTAATAAAACCAACAAAATCATGGATGGTGCATTAGAGCTATATGGTACATGTTTGTTCATATTCAGCTGTTGTCAATACTGTTTTTGAACTTGAGTTACGGAGTGTTGAGTTACAAGTTTCTTTGAGTTAGAAACATTGTGGTTTCATAGGATTCTGTTTGACCACTTAACCTCCTGCTTGCCTAAGTATCCATTAGTAAAGGGTCCCTAACGTAGCATTTTACCACTTGCTTCTACAATTGAGAGGCGTAGTGGTTGGCAGCAGTGTGAACTTGATGCCCAAAGCAAACATTCATGTTCATTAAACCCTCTGTTAAAAGTTATAATACAGAAGAAGTATGTTGCTGTAATAACACGAGTTCCACCTTCTAGTTTTCTGCCTTGTGTGCATAGTTAAAGTAATTCACAACTGAATTCAGTATGCAGCGGAGGTGATGATATACACTCTAAGCCTGACTGACAGGTGTTCTCTCCCAGACGCAGCTTAGTGCTCTAATGATCGAATAGCTGACACTCGAATAAACATTTTCAGTACACGTCCAAGTGAACAGTCCTAGCAATCATTATGTCAGCTACAACACTGGGTTTAATTCTATAGCTTGTTGCCAATTGTGCACCGTTATATTGAGGCCTGAGGACTAAAATGTTGTAAGATTGACTGGGCTGCTTGGTGAATTTGAATATTCTTTAATTATAATGAATAAATAGTGCCATTTCAAGCTAAATCTGTCCCAACAAAGAAGTTTACTGCATTATTTTTTTGTTAATAATACATACATGCCTGAATTTTATCAATTTCCTGCTCCTTGCCAGGGTGTGTTATCAGCTGCTTGGCCTCGCTCTAGCAGCAGGAATAGGGCCGAGCACAGGAGGAGTGGCTAACCTGTTAACAGGAGAGGTGTCTCAACTACACGTGTATGAGTGGAGAGTTAGGGCACACCCCTTCAAATTTCCATAAATATAAATGTACCTGCTGAGATGCTGTTGGAGGTTACAGCAGAGCGAGGACCAGGCTTAAAAGAGAACAGAACATCATCAGCAAAGAGTTGTCACCATGGGGAACTGCGGAGAGATCATGAGCGGTTTTTTTCTCCGACAAAAGAACACCAATGTTCGTATCAGTCTACCGGCTGTCTGCTTCGTCTGGCAGCTTGCTATGATTGTGCTATTTGGGGTTTTCATTCGGTATGATGAGGAGTCCGACGCACATTGGGTGGAGTTCAGAAAGAGTCACAACATCAGCAGTGACATTGAAAATGACTTCTACTTCAGATATCCCAGTAAGTAAAAACACCAGACAGCCTGCAATAATTGATGAACCTGTCATTTTAAATGTTATATATACATTTCATTTCAGTCAAGTCAAGTTTGTTTATAAAGCATATTTATAAGTTTTACATCTGCAATAATATTCTTACGACTGCAATCTACTCTGATAATAGATTCAACAAAATCTTAATTTAAATGCACAAACAAAATAATGAATTATAAGTCTGTGATTAGTCTTTTTTTTTGTCAAAGTTGTTTTTTTTTTATTCAAAGTGCTAATTATTCTGAAAATGGAAGTAATTGTTGTTAAAGAATCTGTTTCTTTCCTTCTGTCCAGGCTTCCAGGACGTCCACGTCATGATCTTTGTTGGATTCGGTTTCCTCATGACCTTTCTGAAGCGCTACAGCTTTGGAGGTGTGGGCTTCAACTTCCTGATTGCCGCTTTCGGGCTGCAGTGGGCTCTCCTCATGCAGGGCTGGTTCCACGCCCTCAACCCAGAGACTGGAAAAATCACCATTGGAGTAGAAAGGTAAGTCCCACATTGTCATGTGTTACACCGTGACACGTGAAAATGAAGTGAAGTGGAATTACCTGGGGGTTGTAGAGGTTCAAGATGTAACACAAAGACAAAAGCACATTCTTGAAATTTTCAGAGTTTGTTAACTTAATAGTACCGAGACTAGTTTCTTTTGTCACAGCTGTCAGCACATGAAAACAAATTATTTTCTCTGGTCTTGCCTCTGGGTGTTCTTGAGGCACAACAGTCAATCTTATATCATATGTGTAAAGTGCAGAATGCAGCTCTAAGGTCTAATCACTCTAGTTTGTCCACTGCAAATATGCTTCAACTTGTGTAGGAAATCACATTTCAATGCATTCATTCAGCACTTTATTTCTGCCATTCAGCACCATTATTTGTCTATATGTTTTAGATGTTGTTTTTCTGTCATATATTGTTGCTTTTTAGTTATATATCTGTCTTTTTATTTTAGCTACTTGTGTATTATATCTTAATGTGTTCTCTGTTGACTTTTCTTAGCAAAAGTTGTACTTGTATTAGCAGCTACTTGCTTATCAAATGCAAACCTCTGACTGATCCATCAGTGGTCCAGTTTAACTGATTATCTTTCTTTTTTATTGTTGAGCATAAATCACTCATGACATCACTAGGCACTCTTTTACAGTACAGCACACACAGCACCCATAGAACAATGTGATGGAATAACAATTCTCTTTAAACAATAGCTTAGTTTTAGTGTAGCCAATTTGCTAACAAATTAAAATTCATATGACAGAACTATTTGACATGCGCTAAAATGTGATCAACTCTTGCTTTGTCTCTGTCCTTTTTCTTGTCCCCACACAGTCTGATCAACGCAGACTTCTGCTGTGCTGGCTCTCTGATTGCATATGGCGCCCTCCTGGGGAAAGTAAGCCCTGTTCAGCTGCTGGTTGTCACCTTATTTGGCGTCACATTGTTTGCTGTAGAGGAATATATCATCCTTGATCTCCTTCATGTGAGTCTCAACAAACACAATCATTCTGAGGGAACATAGTCATTTTTCAATTCTCCTTTCAATATTTGAAATGTCTTCTTTTTGCTGCGTCTTCTACAGTGCAGAGACGCCGGAGGCTCCATGGTCATTCACGCCTTTGGCGGGTACTATGGTTTGGCCATTTCCTGGGTCCTCTACCGACCAAACTTACACCTAAGCAAACGCCTCAATGGATCTGTCTACCACTCTGATGTGTTTGCCATGATTGGTGAGTGACTGGTGATTTCTCTTCACACCTCAACACTTTTCAAATAACTTGTTCTTCAAGACTCGATCATTTACTTTGACATCACGTGTTGATTATAAATGTATTCATTCTCTCCCCCACAGGTACACTGTTCTTGTGGATGTTCTGGCCCAGTTTCAACTCGGCCATCACAGACCACGGTGACGGACAGCACAGAGCAGCCATCAACACTTACCTGGCCCTGGCCTCCTCTGTCCTCACTGCTGTGGCCATCTCCAGCATGTCTCAGAAGAAAGGAAAACTGGACATGGTAATGCTCTATCACTGGAAAAACCACACCCATGGCATATAACATCTGAGTGTTTCTCATGACTGTTGTGTAATTTGTTTCCTGACAGGTGCATATCCAGAATGCAACTCTGGCAGGTGGGGTTGCCATGGGAACAGCAGCAGAGTTCATGATCACTCCCTATGGCTCACTCATAGTGGGTTTCTTCTGTGGCATCATCTCCACATGTGGCTACCTGGCTGTCACGGTGAGCCTGCATTCCTTAACATATTGTTGAAAAACTGTTTGCTCCATCACTGCATATAGAAGTTATTAAACTTTTTGATTAGTGACATATCCTTAGATTTAAATTAACTACCCAGAATAAAGTGTATCGATATAGCCAAATAGGTAAGAAGTTAGATACTAAATGTACTTGATGTCCTCTAAATTCTTAAAATCGTGGCATTAGCCCTGGTGTCAGTAACTAATACACAACTGTTTTTCTCTTTTTTTAGCCATTCTTAGAGAAATATTTAAAGCTTCAGGATACATGTGGTGTCCACAACCTTCATGCTGTGCCAGGAATGCTTGGTGGCTTTATAGGCGCCATTGTTGCTGCAGCTGCCACTGAAGATGTCTACGGTAGAGAGGGGTGAGAGACCAACACAAAACTTGAAATGCATATATACTTTTTTAATGTGCATATATATATATATATATATATACATACATATATACATAAATTGAGATACAGAAAGCCAGATTATACCTTATTATCAAAGTTCTTCCTCCAATAACACATATTTGACTTTTTTTTTATCAAACCTTGGATTTAAAAGTTTGTGTTTTTTGCCAACAGGTTGATAAACGTCTTTGACTTTGAAGGCGAATTTAGTACCAGGTCAGTAGGAACTCAAGGAGGCTTCCAGGCTGCTGGCACATGTGTGGCCATTGTATTTGGACTTGTTGGAGGAGCAATTGTTGGTGAGCTTGAGAACTTGTTACTCTAAATCATTTGTGGAGTTAATGTAATAGAAGCATGTTACAGTTGGGAAAAGATGAGATAATTGCCCAGGAGGATGAGGCTAGATAATCTTACTTTATGTCTTTGAAATAATTCTTTAAAATGAATAATTTTAATTAATGATGAAATTAAGCTTTCCGGTATTATTGCAGTTACACACCTGAGAAGACTTGAAGTCATCTATTGTTCTCTCTCTCTTTAAAGGTTGTATCTTGAGGTTCCCAATCTGGGGCGACCCTGCTGATGACAACTGCTATGATGATGAAGTTTACTGGGAGGTAAGACTGCCTGCTCTTTTAGAAAGCTGGACAACAAAATCACTCAGATAAGACTCTGGCTCATTATTCAAACCTGTGTGTGTCTGTGTGTGTGTGTGTTTCAGCTTCCTGAGGATGAGGAGACCATCCCTCCTGTCCTGGAGTACAACAACCACATGATTCACAAGCACCAAGACATGTACGCTCACTCACACCTTTTCACACTCCATTTATCATTCTCATTCATTTTCTGAATGAATTCTAAACGTTATCATTTAATATTTCTTCTTTTTGTTCAACAGATCTGAATCAAACTTCTCTGTGGACCAGAGTTAATGCTGCATTTTCCCTGATCCACCCCTAACATCTCTTTGAACTTGATGTAGCAGTGATCTACAGTAAAACTTCACTAGTTTATGAAGAGGCCACTCTCTCCATAATGGGCAATTTGACTCGTAAAGAAGAAGAATTTTTGACACATGGGTTGTCTGCTGCTCTTGTCTTGCACCATTAACACCTGATTGAGTTGTGTAGCACCTAAGTTAATGATTGAAGTGTTGCTGCACAAAAATGTGCATAATTATTTTCATTATAAGAAAATAATTGTGAATCAAACCTCATTTGTAGGTGTTTAATGACCTGAAAATATTTGAAGTCCGGCATGAGAAATCAGAGACACTCTGTCAATGTTGATATGAAGTTCATTCATAACTGTAAATCAGGGCATGCACATCTTCATCTTTAATGACTATAAAAAATCTAGGCCTCTGAATTGTTGCATATTGTCATTGATGATTTAGGTAACATCATACTTATAAATAGAGAGTTTATTTACTGTGTTTGTTCAACTGAAGGCATCAAGTGATTAATTGAAGGACTCTATTATTGAATAATTAAGCTTATTTAATCATTTATTTTAATGATGTATAGTTCTTTATAAGCTGAATGTACATATTGTTATTTTGAAGCAAAACTTGTTCTTAAAGGGGAGGTTTTGAGCAGATTCAGAAGCTATGATATAATTTCCAGTGATTTGTTCTATTGTTGAATGTGACCGAAATATACCATTTATGATTGCATGTGACAGTTTATTATGTGTTTTAGTTGAAAATGTTCACAAATCACCTGTACATGCAAATAAATCCTAAAGTTATTGTGTTGTCTTTACATCTGCTAACATTGTTCTTTTTCATCATGTACTGTAAATATGAATATAATTATAAAACACAAGTGTGATAGTCATGTGAAAGTGGCCTTCAAAAAGAAACAAAAATGAATAAAAAGCATGAAATCAAAGGCATGTCTCAATGTGTTTCAGTGTTGCTGTTCATGTACAGTATTATGTAGATGTACAGTATATCATGGGCAATTAAACTATAACTATGAAATCCTCCAAAAGTTACTGTCAAAGTCAATTTTCCCTTAAAATGAAAAAAAATAAAAAATAAAAAAGGAGTTATCCAGAGCTAACAAAGAAGAATACACGCTGTAAATTGCAACAAAACAAAAGTTTGGAGTGCTCAGAAGTTCAAACTGCATATGGTGAAAGTGCTCTTTGGTGGGGAACAGAAAACAAACACACACAAAAAAACAAGACCAAAAAACAAGTCTCTCTTCTGAAAAAAAGTAAAAAAAGCCCTTTTTATTTGTGCCTTTGGTTTTGACCATTTACATGCTGTAGTTTTTGTCTTGTTTACAGATGTTTAGAGCAGTTAAAATGGATTCACTGACAAATTAGAAAATAAAAGTTAGTTGTTAGTTGTTAGTTGTAGTTTGTTAGTTGGGTTATAGAGTTCATGTTCATTTTCAGACTTGTCAAAAATACAACCATCACTTTTTAAAAATATGTAAAAATAATTAATGCTCAACATACAACTGTAGAAAACTATTTGTCTCTATAAATAATGAGCTTAATTGTCTCTAATATTTAAATGCATGAAACACATATAACAAATATCAACTGACCTTCTTTGAATTTGTTCCCTCTGAAATGCAGTAACATTGTAAATCCACAAGGTGGAGGTACAATGCCAAATGTGCAGAGGATAGTGATCTAATATCCAAACAAAGTTCAACCCTAAATTCAACATTTAAAAAAAAATAATTTGTTATCTGTGGCAACTTTACTCTGGACTGGCACCAGAACAGCATCCAGAGGGGGACAATCCACTTTTCTATTTTCTATTTTCTATTTCATGAGAAAACCTACTTGACTCATACACTAACAGATGTCTCTTTCTCTGTGAAAAAAAAGTAATTACAGTTAAATATGTGTATGTTTGAATGATTAAAAAACAACACATGTTGTATCACGGTCTGTCATGTTCACAAAATTTGAATATGAAAGGCTATTTTTTGAAGTGGAGATTGAAAAGAGCTGAATAGGAAACTGTGAACTAGAATCCTGAACTTCCTTCCTTCCAGTTTGACACATTAAGTCATGTGACTTTGATGGTTTAAGGCCTCTCGTCATCATCGGGTCCAGTTTGTTTAACAGATGAATATGCTATAATCAGTGGAGAAAAGTCTTCCCCTCTATAAGCTTACCACAGCTTAAGTTGGGTGTGTGGAGTCAAAAAGAGTTAAACCGGGTCCTTCAGGTCATCGAGGGCTGCCTTCTGGCCTGCAGGGATCACGTCTCTCTGCTTTCCTTATTCTGATGGTAATGAGCCTCGGACTGGTCAGTCAATAGGGTCATTTCCTGACCAGTCACTGTAGCTTTTAATGAACTCTATACATTGAGTGCATATGAGCTTTGCTGCTTGTCAGGTGGCAGAAACTTCATAGAGCGAAGACGTCAACAAGTAATTTAAGGAGATGTCTATAAAAACACTGATGAGTTTAAAGGTGCACTATGGAGTTTTGGGAGAGAAATATGAAATTTGGAGAAGTGTACAGATTATATGGTATATGTTCATATACCATATACAACTCTATACACAAACTGTCCTCAGAGGAAAATTTGGTCCCTGTAACACTTTTTGAAGATAAAATGATACTTGTAACTCTCTGGTTAGCTTTTTAGCTCCAAACAGTGTTCCAGGGACTCATTTTTTGCTTTGAGTAAAGTTTGTTTACTCAGTTCAGAAAATATAGCATAGAATTGTTTCACTTCTCCAATTACCTCTTTAACTTTACCCTACTATTGGCTTTCCCACTGATCTGTTTTAATTATATGAACTTTATGTACTAATTCCAAGACCTCATTCATAAAAAATGTATTGTTTAGATATTACTTTCCAGTGTAATGTTAAGCAGTCAAGTTTCTTACGGTATTGTTGGTTTATGTATCATTCAAGTGTTTGTACTGGACAATTCAGCTTAAAAATACAATTCCCTTTAGTTAGATATTTTTAGCTTGTTTTGGACTCTGGAGAGACAGACGTGTGAAAGTTGTATGATGCCTTGCTTAAGAACAACTGTTGAAGTCTGATGCATTGCCTGAAACGATGTCACTTGAGTCAGACAAGGTTGAGGCTGAAGAATACACATTTGAAAATGGAAAAAGAAATTGTGCAAATGGGGTGTTGGCAGAAATGAGCTTCTAAAATATATTTCACTGATCCATTAAGATGATGCTGAAACCCTCTGTAATCTTGGTATTGACTAATCCATTGACCAAATGTATAACATTTTCTTCAGCACACAACGACATGGAAAGACTGTCACGCGAAAGTATTTTAAAATCTGTGTTAAACATTCATTCATTTATTTTGGTATGACATGTTGTCGGCTTTATTTGCAATGACATTAACCTGATATTTATACTTATAAGTGTGTTCAATAAAACACATTTCCATTAGATTCAAAATCTTTCCCCAAACCTAAAATGATCAGAATTTAGCGATATAGAAACCAGATAAAAAACATTTTTATCTCAATAAATTTTTTTCTTTTTCAGAATGTTGTAGTTATTATTATTATTTTTTTATGATTGTGTCCAAGAGTTAAGTGACAGACCCACTGTAACTCAGCTGTTTCCCTTAAATCACAGTGCAGTCCGGCCTTGCAGGGACCTGATGCTAGAGGAGAGTGGAGAACTCCTCTTGTGAATCAACCAACCCTGGGGAGAGTGTTTGTGAAACCACTTGGTCCCCTATTGTCCTCCTGGGACTGGCCTCCTCTCAAAAGCTGCAGAAAGCCTGTAATCAGATTAAAGGTTGCAGGGAAGGGGAGGGGGGAGTTTTGAGGCATAGCGAGGATGTCTTGGAAGTTCTCTAATCAGTACCTGCCATTGAAGTGCAGAAGAGGGGTTAAATAACGCAGCAGTAGGGGAGGCGGGTGCCAAGCTGGAGGGACAAATTGGCCTGTTGTTGGAGGGGGATAATGGGACAATGAGGGAGGGGAGTATAATCAGGGGGTATAGAGGGAAAGAGAATAGGTGCAATGGAAAAAAGGAGGAGACTGAAGAACTCCAAAGGCGGTGGCCTTGTCCCATCCTGCCCTGGCAATTATATCACCTTTGTGAGCTGATTGGAGCTCACTGGAGAGTGCATGGGCTCTCAGATGGACGTTACAGCTGATGATGGAGATACCAGGGGCTCTTATGGTCTGAACAAAACTCAAAAACCCACTCCTGAAAAACTCCTGCCCTTCAAGAGGGTTCACACAGACAGCGACAATCATTAGTCACAGCTTTATGATACACATTTAACTATGTTGTCTTATTTAAAAAGGAAAATCACAATGAACTGAAGTTTTTTGGTTTTTTTGAGGCAGTTTTCTTTTCTCATGACAATCTACAAACAACCCTCATGTTTGTGGTTGAGTTAGATTGAGAAATTAAAACTTTAATGGAAATGTAGACTTACCCCTCTGACTGTCCAGACTCTGGAGTCATGATGTAACATCAAAAAGACACCCTGCTGATAACCAAACTCCACCAACATGTCTTAAGAATCCTTTCTGTCATTGTGCTTACTCATCTGAACAACCGGCATCACTAAAGGCCAATTCTCTACTTTTTTTATTCACTCAACAGGAGTCCATTTGTTGGGGTCGAAGGGGAAGGTCTCAGGGGGGACGACCTCGCCGGCAGCACTGCTGAGGAGGAGAAGCAGAAAAGTACTATTCATAGCAGGGGATTTCTTTGGTTGTGGTACAAAGGCCACTGGTTCCCTGCTGGAGTAAGAGAAGAAGAAATGAGGGGTGCGTTAAAACATGTGCGAAGGATCAAACTGAATGCTTTAGCTAATTAGGTGCTCCACCTGCCAGAGCTCTAATTACAGCATAAGAGACTGATTATTATAGTCCAAGCAAAGAAAATCATTTGATTTTCTGCTTGGTTTTGGCTTATTGCTGATATTGCCGTCAAGCGCAATACCCTTAAAATCATGTCTATATTTAATGTCAATATAGGACTGACTCTCAAACTGCTGTAAACCTGAATTCACAGGAGTTTATATGAATATTTTTCTGACCTAATTTAGGAACACTTAGGGTAGATAAAGAGTATCTAAGAGTCTTAAGTGAAGGACACTTTGAACTATTTCCACAGGTGTTGTTACGTGTGAAAATCGTGATCACATTCCACAGATTGAACAAAGAGATGGGTTGAGTAGTTAAAAGAAGAAGGACCTATCCATCCTGCACTTTTCGGCAGTTTCGCAAAGGTGCATCAAGTAAGAATGTTTGGGGCTGTGTGGAGCTCCTAGGTTAATAGAGAGCGGAGATTTAAATAAAAAATGTGTGCAAGGACCATTTGCAAGTCTCTAACTATGTTGTCTTGCTTGTTGGTCTTATTAGACCAAGAAAGGGCACTTGGGGGTCACTTTCTCAGCAATATCTGATTCATTTAACACAGAATTATGCGCAGGCCCTGATGGTCTCTTTTTATTACCATGTCTGGAAACACATATGAAATTGACCTCAAGCAGACGTGTGTATGAGATAAATATCTTCTCTCCCTGTGACTCATCCTGAATTCACATGAATTCTCAATACAAACCCGTGTATTGAAATAAGGTTTCTATATAAAGCATTGTGAAAAACAATAACTATTTTAAAGAAGCCGAGGGATATGACATAGACCAAAACAGTTAATTGCAATTTTTGGATCTTAAAATAATTTGAGTGAGATATGATGATAACATCAAATGGAGGAATGGATGGCGTGTGGAAAGAGCAGGTCATATTCACCACACTGTAAACTCTCCCAAAACAAAAATACTTTCTGTAACAGAAGAAAAAACCTTGATAATACTCATTGATAAAGACCCTA